GTGGAAAAGCTGCCTGCAGTCCGAAGGCGGCCCATAGACGGCTGACAGCAGCTGCAACGCCAGGTGTAGGGTGGCGCGCTTTTCCCTCGGCGCCGAGGTGAGGGTAGCCAGGGCGTCGTTGTCCAGCATCGCTGGCAGCGCGCGTAGAGCCTCGGCGTCCGTCCAGTTCGCCATCTCCTGATGAGCGATGAACCGTCTCTTGAAGCCGCCCCAGTCTCCGTCTGCGCCTACGAATTCTTTCAGAGGCGGCAGACGCTGCTGCAAGGCGACGTCCGTGGCTGTAGATCGCTCTCCGTCGCTCCCCGCCGATGATACAGTGTGGGCGGGCTGTGCACATGGCATCGCCGGTCGCTCCGATGTTGACGCGCCGGCCGGTGTTGATGATGTCACGGCTTGTGCTTGGCGCTCAGCAGTCACGTGGCGCGGGCCGGCCCCGCCGTCCGCTCGCACTGTAGAGATGGCGGGAAATTTAACCGCCAGCCGCGTCGGGGTGGCGGGAAACGTCGCCGCGCACCGGCTGCTGTCGTCGACCCGCGCTGCCCCTCCAGCCCCCAGCCGCGTGATCTCCTCCAACGCAGCGGCGGCGGCGTAGAGCAGTTCCGCCAGGCGGGAGTGGGCCAGCCGGAGTCCTTCAGCCGACGCATCCCCCCCCTCTTGTCGTAGCGGCGCGGGCGTACTTGGCCCCGGCTGCTCCGATCCGACCCCGGCCATCTCTGGTGTTGAATCGGCCGCGGCGTCTTCCATCTCCGACTCCTTGGTACGTGTCGTCCCTCGTGTGTCCATCGTTTGGACGTTTTACTTCTGACACCAGATGTAGTAAGTATATGGAGGCTTGACGACAGGATCGGAGGCACACTTATTTATTACACCAACACAGTTATTTACAGGTCACTGGGCTACAGGGATTTCTCGACAGCTAACCCCTCTAACCTATACCAATTCCTCCACTACGGGACTAGGGGAGGCTATCTGTCCCAGCTTGGTTAAGCTGGGATCCCGGCTCCCTGAGTCACCAGACCAGCTTCGTCTGGGCTCTCGGGGCCACGCCACCGGCTTGCCCTGGTCGGCCCTTATAAGGACAGCGAGCCAGGGGAGCTCTGGGGCCTACACTAGCAGGTCTTCCGTCTTCTCTGGTTATAGCTGAGTCCCGACTCCCGAGCCTTTCGGCTCATCACCTTTTATAGGACTTGCCCCCAAGGGGGGGGCCCGTGGGGGATACACATGCGGACGTCGGTGCGAGCGCCACCCTTGTGTACGGCCGTAACCCCGCCCCTTGTGTTTGTTGGCCATCCGTGGCCATGCATAATCACACCTCAACATTCGTAGACATGTGCAATTACACCTCTACACCTACGTGACTTTACCGAACTGTATTAATTGGCCGTGTCGGGTGGTGGTGGGTTTTACGACACCCATTTTACTCGTGCGATCTCATCCAAAAAATCTAATATGAACCGTCAGAGCAACAGAGAAGGTTCGTTGGTCTCTCGGCAGTGGACGCGGTGTGAGGTTGTCACTAAGGGCATGAGAACGTGCGGCGTTACGGTGGAGATGGCGGTGAGTCGAAGACTGCGGGGAGGAGAGGACTCGGAAACCGGAGCCCACCGAGTGGAGAGGACAGTCCTCATCCTCCTCCTCCTCAGAAGAAGAAGAAGGTTAAATTTCGATGTAAAGCTTTCGTGACTGCAGGAATTCATCTTCTTGGTTCTTTCGGTAAAGTCACGTAGAATTAAAATAATAAAATAATAAAATTTTAACATAATAAAATAATTCTCACGACGTTTCGGCCACAACGCAAGTAGCCGTCCTCAGATGGAGAACAGGTCTGTCGAGGAGACAGACTCTGAATGACTCTGTCTCCTCGACATTCAGACTCTGTCTACTTGACGGACCTGTTCTCTACCTGAGGACGGCTACTTGCGTTGTGGCCGAAACGTCGTGAGAATAATTTTATTATGTTAAATGTTATTTTTTTATTACTTCCCTTCTACGTGACTTTACCGAAAGAACCAAGAACCAAGAAGAAGAAGAGGGTTCTGAACAGCATATTTGAGATGTCGCAGAGCCTTCTTGAGTTACAAGCCTCGAAGATACAGACCACATCGACGTTATTAACTCCTGTCGATACGATATGTTTGTAACGGAGACTGTGCTCTTCATTGTGAACGAAATCAATCGATAGACACCTTTATTGAGCCAGCTGAGAGCCCCACCGAGACTAAACGACTCGCTGCTTGCAAGGGAGACCGATATTAGAAACAGTAAAACATTGGGACGATCAACAAAATATCAAACTAAAAGCACTGCGCAGCAAACATACTATGTTTTATAAGATATCTACGCGTATTATATTTTTAATTTTTTTTTTTAAGAGTCGAAAGGGAAATGTCTTAAAACCTATCCATCACTGTCAGTCAGTGGCTTCGTGTATCCACCTCCCACACGCACGTGTCTGCGTGCATATTTTACTCGGGCGCGCGCGTGCGCTTGCCGTTTGTTTTGCGCAGCTCACCTGCTGAGCGGAGACAACAACGAGAAGCCCTTTGTTGACAGCCGCATGCTACGTGACAACTCGTAAAAGAGAAGCCTTCCTCTCTGGCACACCGGCCAGCCCGCACCGACCCCAGACTGATTCTCAGAAGCAGCACAACAACATGGGGGGGGGGGGGGGTAGTGCGAGGGGAGGATGAGGGGATGCCCCCAGATCGAGGTTGCTAAGATGTATTCAAACAATGTAAGAGTGCGAAACCGCTCGCCGCAAACGCTCGGTGGTATGCAACAACAAAATTACGGGGATGTGTGATGTGTGTAATGTAGTCGGGTCGGTTGGGGGGCTTTGTAGCTCTTATTCAAATCAGCGACACAGGAAAAGGAAGGGCACACGTTGTGTTCTGGTATTGAGAGGGATGATACTGATGTAAGCTCACGACAGTTTTCTTAAGTTTGTAATTCGGACAACTCGTGCCTGTGATGATCTCTTGAAGTTCAACACATTCTGAACATAAAAAAAAATTCTGCTATCCTTGAACATTTTAATGAACCGTTATGCTCGTGATAATGTTAATTTTCTGAAACGTAATATCATTGGAACTTTAGATGCTAATATTAATGACGATATAACATACGGAGGTGGGTTGAGAGACATTAGTCTTCATTTCCTGGAAGATATTAATACAATTTTCAAAAAATCAATTTCATCTATCCAATCAAACTGAGCACTTTAATCAGCTGTGTCAAGTTTGTGTTTTCCGATCATAAATGGTTCCTGCATTTGCAAAGAAACCTCGAACCATTTCTCGATTTCCATAGCTTGTTCCTCTAAACATGAAGTGAATAATCATAATCGGCATGGCACGTGTTTTCTAAAGTCAATATTCAAACGGAATAGCACACCATTAAGTTAGTGAACATCAGCAAGATCACAGATGGAGACCATCTGGAACCCTCGCTTGCGAATGGGTTTTGTGAAAATGTACCCCTAGTTCTGTTTAATTCTCTTGTTTTGTTGTTCAAAGTATAAGTAATGTGATTTTTTAAAAGTGAATGAATGTTAATCAAACGACTTGTTTTATTGTGCAAGTACTGCGTGCCTTAGTCTAACGGAGCAGAAAAAATGAGAATAACACAGTGAGTCAATCGGCAGGTGGCATGTGTGGTGGGGTAAAGTGTGGGTACGATCATCTCAGGACAGAGAGAGATTTAAGGCCTGATCGTCGTTATATTTGAGAAAGGACATGGCACAGAGAGAGAGTTTAACGCATAGGCTTTCGCTACCAATATCCATAAAAACACATTTTTTGGGTCAGATTACGTAAATATTAATGTGTAGTTAACCTTTACTCTATTGAAGACCGAAACAGAAAGACTTCTTTACAATTCTGGAAAATCGCCTGATGAAGCTGGATGTAATCACCAGTCGTTTGATTAACATTCATTCACGCAAATTGTAAGTGTTCTGGGTTCACTCTCCAACACACCGGTGTGCTGAAGTAGTAACTAATTGGCACGTTTTGTTTACGGGACAAACCTTACTAATTGGCTGTGTCGGGTGGTGGTGGGTTAACAACACATTTATATTTATGCGCTCAAACCCAAAAACCATTGATTATATTATGGATAAGAGAGAGTCTCTAATAATCTCTTCCAAGACATCTCACCAGCGTGGGCGTGAGAGAGTAGGCCAGAATCCCCTCTCAACCCTCTGTGGAGCTCCTTCCCGTGGAGGAGACCCTTCTGCCAGCAGTGATAACTGCGGGCCATTGCAGGGGCTGCACCTTCACCCACCTACTCTTGTGATCGGCCACTAAATCTGAGCGGGTTTTGTGCCGTTTAAGCTGGGCTTGAGAAGAGGAACTGTTCGGCCCGAGAGGATGTGGGAGGAAACCCACACGCCGCCTCGTGCAGCAAACCCTTCGATAGAAGCATGTGCTTGAGAGCAATCCCTCCTTCCTAACGTCTTCACACGGAGAAGTAAGAACATAAAGTCCTGTTCAAGAACGAGGCAGGTTTCCTTTGCTCATCTTGAGTTGTCTGTGCATCTTTTAACGGTTTTACAGCAGCAGCAGCACTTTAGCAAAAATCAATGGGGAAAATCACAAACAGCATTAACGACGTTTTACCTACCGCTGCCTCCAACCACCATCAACAAGTCTCCATATCAAAATAATTATCTCATGAAAACCCTTAACTGGTTTCCTTCCCAAGATATGTCATGTACGTCTATGAGTGGGGTTCCTAGCATGATAGTTCTTGTAAGAGGAGTTTGGATGACTCACTAAAAATGCCTCATATTTGATGTTCATATTAAATAAAACAAAAACTCTACTTAAGTTTTGTAAAATCATGCAAACCATACACATTCTGACATATATACCACTTTGCTACTATGAGTATACTAAATGTTTTAAAAGCTTTTTGTTTATTCAAGTCAAAATTAAGTTGTGGGTATTGATTGTTGTGTCCCTGGCTCTAACAGAGTGACGGCCATGCCATGAAGATACCCCCGGCGTCTGATTGGAAGCGATTAAGCAAACATGAGCAGACACATTAAAGTGTAATGGACTTCTTCTCTGCCGGCACGTGTTACTATAACTCACATCTATCTCGTGGCACAAATCACGTGTTGATGCAATGAATAATGAACCAGCAAGGTAATGATTTATAAGAACTCTGCTGTCATGCACACAACTCAATTCCACCTGGAATCTCTCGCTGTCCATCTAACCAACAGAATTGTCAATAACACTGCACTACAAGAATGTATACCGCAATAATAATGTGACGTTTTAGGCAGTGGTCCTTCATCGCAGAAAAAAAGATATATGACCTCCCTGAGATGAAGAGGGACCGTTGGCAGAAACGGCACCTGTTATATATAGTGTATTTATTTTATGACAGTGTTATTGCCAAAGGTGTTGAGTTTCTGTTATTTGTGCTCGTCGTACGCAGTATTAGTGTCACCAATAAAATTGCACCTTCTTCGTTGTCTGGACTGATGCACAAAGACTCACAGTGAAATGTGCTCATTTTGTGTCGCAAGATAGACGCTTGTTCAGTACAGTTAAATGGTTTGTAAACTACAGACAACTTTATGCATAAAGTGGTATTGAATGTATGCATTCTGAACTTCTTTCGTACCGTACGTTAGCTAACCGTGCAAATCAGAGGTACGATTTTATATATATTGCAAATGTATTGCACAATATATTTGAGCAAAAGTAGTTGAGGTAAGAATGTATATAAAGGAAATGTTTGCAAAGATTAAACAAACACAAACTTTGGCGCAATGAACCTATGGCATAGTAGTTCTTTGAAGCGCACTATGAGCTCAGCAATGTAAGTTTCATTTCCGGCCATGTCTGACATCAGTGGCGAGTGATATCTGTACCAGAACTGATATCACTCGTCTCCAACCCACACTGACCAGCATGTGTGTGTGTTAGGAATGAAACGTAATAATTAACCAGTGGATTTATCACGGCTGCTGATGATGACACTGGTCAACACACTTTTTCTGGCATAAAGTATTTCAACGGTTTTAAGGTAATTTTGGGGTGCTGATTCCAAATCTGACATCAGTTTTTGTCTATCACATCAGGTTTGAGATATCAAATATTGCATTTTCAATAAAAACTGCAGAAGAAAAATATAAAATAAATGTGGATATCTACATAAAATTATATTATAAACACACTATCCTAAAAATACAGCACCATATTTTAACACTAAAGCAGTCACTGACTCGCAACAACTTACAATCATAAGTGACAGAGTTAATTTCGGGTAAAATCAATGAAAATGGGGTATGCCGATAGCATAAAATGAGATGTGATGGAGCAAATCTGAGATCAGATTTGGAATCAGCACCCTGAAATTAGTCTAAAAAAGCTGCAAAAGTCCAGGCCAGAAAAAAAATGTTTTTTTTGTTGACCAGTGTGATGAGAAATATGTGTTGTCTAATGAATTTGAGGCTGTGAGTTGAGCATCGAGGCAGTGCCAAATCCCCCACAAGCCCCTTCGTGTGTAACTGGACCAGCCAGACTCATAATAGCCCGTGGCACGCAGCGTACTCTTCATACTCCCGACACGAAGATAATTGCTCGTCGTTTTTTTTTCATTAGCTTTTTTATTGCTCACTTTTTATTTACAAAATACAATTATACAGTTAAACGTATGGCTTTTTTCATAATTGGGGCAGTGCTGCGTTTTCGGATTAATCGAACAGACTGTGTGTTTTTTCCGCAGGTACGGCACTGCCTCACAGGTCACCGGCCTGTGCCAAGTGTGTGGCGGCACTGCACACCACATCCGGGATTCCCCCGTTGGTCACACCCCCCACCCCCTCCAATTGGTGAGGTCTTTGCTGCCAAGATATAACTTTGTTCGCAAGTCAGAGAATACAAATACAACTTCCTCTAGTCCAGTAAAACCAACAACGGCCTGTAGCCCCAGTTGATATAACAGACCCCCCCACCCGACCCACACTAACCAGCTGTGCCAAACTGCACCCAGGGATCAGTGGCAAAGTCTGGCAATGATGCGTAATGCTACTGCAAATACTACAGCGGTGTCGGCATTACGCTGGAGTTTGGTTTTTATAAATGTGTAGTGACGCATATTGGGTCACTACGCCGTTTAGCGCCAGCTACTGAAAGAAGAGTGCAACTGTGCGTGTTAGAGCCTCTCTTTGGCACAAGAGTATGTATGGCATGGAAGGGGGCGCTAGGGGGCATGGTCCAGGTGACAGTCAGAGAGGGCAGTTGAGGACGTGACAGTCTGGGTGAACCCGAGAGGACACGTGACCAGGACAGGATAATGAGGGGGGCCAAAAGGTGGCGAGAGAGACACGTGATGTATAGCCCAGAACCTTCTAGTTGGATCTAGAAGGGGGCGTGGCCGAGGGCGGAGCCAGGCCACGCTCAGGGGCATAAAAGGGAGGTCCCGAGAGCCAATCCAGGCTGTCTGTTGGAATGGAATCCGTCGGTGCTACAGCTCTTCGATCCTCGGTCTTCTGTCTTTACGCTTGGCATCGTGGGTCACGCAGTGTGTTACTAACTGACCAAGTTAAATAGTTACCCTGTTGGGGTGTGAGAAGTAACGTGTTGCCTCCAAGTTCAAGTGTGTGCCTCCGTGGAACCCACTACAAATGCCACGCAAAATACAGTTGGGAGCCAGACGATCAAAATGAGAAACTACGCAGCCTTTTGTCAATCAACTGCTGGGGTGAAGGCCTCCCTACGCTATCTGTCATGGCCCTTGTTTGACCATTATACCGTGAGACGCACTTGGCTACGTTGGTTCGTGTAGGTTTGGTGAAAGGAGGGCAGGGGCCCGGCACCAGTTCTGATATCACTCGCCGCTTGATGTTATTCGTGGCTGGGAATTATAATCAGGCGGCAGCGTTCATATCGCATTTCGCTAACCACTGCGCCACCGATCCATCCTTATAAAGAGGATGACTTTAAATAAAAGTATGCATTTGGTCAGCCAGACATTTCTGCTTGGTCACGCAGTGTTATGTGCAGCAGTTGCCTCAACTTCTGGTGAGCAGTGTATTGGCTAAGCCTACCTGCTCAAGATTAAAAAAAAATCACACCCGCTCCTAATTCCACGACCTTGTAATGGAAAATAAACGGTCGTCAAGTGGATGTGACACGCCCAAAAAGAAAAAAACCCACAGCGTGAAAAGTCAAATGTTTGATTTGCGGTTACCAGGGTGAGGGTGGTTGAGCACATGGCACAATTTGTCATCTTTGCTCATGTTTGTTTCCAAATGGGGCAAAGGTTTCTTTCTACCTGCCGATGTTGCATAATGCAATACTGATATATAATAACATGTACCTGCTCTTGCATAAACTTTTATGGCATTTTTTTACTCTGCTTTTATTGGTATGATAAGCAGTGCTAGAGGTTGTACAAGTGGGGGTGGTGGCATTCTTCTTCTCAGAACCCGAGAGAAGTTGGTTGACGTTTTTTTTATTTCTCCATTACAGGAATCAGTGGCGGATCTTGAAATTTCCCAAGGTGGAGGATAATGTCCCAAAAATGTAAGCTTGGTAAATTTGGCCCTATTTTAAAATAGAGGTTTTTTTATATTCAATGTATTTTTTTCTGGTAAATATCTACAAGACACCGATTTTCTGGGTCTCAAGAGGGAGGCGATCACCAAATGCTTTCATATCTGCTATTCGCAGTAACGTCAATTATAAAATATCACAGCGAGAATGTGTTGTTTATTTATTTATTGTTATTAGCTCAATTTAGGACTGTGGAGCTTCACTCTTCCATCATCACTCCCATGTTCGTGCTTCTTCTACATCACACAATGGAGCCACTCAGCAGTAACACCAACAGCAGTTAGAAACATAATATAATCGAAGAGCGGAAGTGGCTCAATTTAGTTTGTGAAGATGGTCCCAGCACGTGGAGTGAAACGTCGGGCATAATGCAGATAACCTTGAGAAAAACATTAGGGAAAATGTTGTTATTTATCGTCATTACGCACACACAGACACATTATGTGCTTCTCGCCAAAGTCACATTTTCTTTGAAATTGAATTTTTAAAAATTTATTTGATGCAATTTTATAAAAATCTGTTCAAGTGACACGCATGATCTTCAGTGTATATATATTATGATTTACGGCACATGCTGTCTTATCAGCGGCTGTTCTAAACTTGAAAAAACGTGAACATTTCCATTCCTCGAGGAATAAGATGAGTTTTGGATATTCTGAATTCAAATCAGGCCAAGTAAAATGCACCAAAGGTAGTGTTCTCTCTACACATAGTTAATCTTAGTGACCTCTCACAGCGTGAGATGCACTGCTCTTTGTACCTTCCCAGTCACGCCACTTCCTACCAATAAAATGACAGCACCCACTTGCCCTTTGCCTGGGCAGACACCCTTTGAACGCTTGCACAAAAGTAAACCACAACCTTACCCGTACAAACAGAGGAGCGCAGAATACAGGCCACCTATCCTGTCCTGCTGCCCTCCAACTGCTGCCCAATGTGCCACATTACCCACAAAGCCACCCAGCCTGCAATGCTGCCCTTCACTGCTACTCAATAAGCCACTGCACTCACAGATGCGATTTCCAGCACAAATAATAAAAGCGTTCTCTATTGTCAATTAGTTCAAGACCAATGTTATATATATTACTCATAAACTAAAATATTATATATATACAAGTTAATTGTATGGCTTTGTTGGAAAATGAAGGGAAACTCGTGGTTAAAATAATAATCATTATTATGAGTCCTTTATCAGAGTTTGGCTATTCAAATGTATGTAATCTGTTAAATGCAAATGTTAGCCTGTGATTGCTGGCTCGATTCCTCTTCTCGTCATTGCGCTCACGCTGTATTCAGGACGTGTATTCAGTTGTGTGAAATGCAATATAAATAATACAATGTTTTCGATGATAATCACCACAAGTCACCCACAAAGTCACCCATGGTGGCCAATTGTATGAAAGAGGACTACCTTTTTTCCATCACATGTTACACTTCCAAAAAAACTACAAGTCATTGTTTGCTATGTGCGTCGGTTGGGAGTGTTGCGCAAGAGCTGCCATGGCTATATGGGGATATAATTGGGTGGAATAAGCGGAGCGAGGGGAATGTAAAAGCTCACGTGAGTGTGTGCACAACTTCAAGTGGGTGAAAAGGTGGCAGGGCGTGTACGTGTTTGCGAATGCTGAGTTTGTGTACGGGCAAAAGGTCACTTGGATAAAGCTACCTCTCCAACAGATCCATCAGAGTTGTATTGTCTGGTCAGGCTTCAGAACCTTCTCCCATCAACGCCTCTGTACCACAAGGATCAATTTTCGGTTCACTTCTCTTCTCCAACTTCATTGACGAGCTGTTCAATGCATGCGTGAACCTGCTGTACCGCTACGCTGACGACTCAACCCTCTATACTCCAATAAGATCACCTGCAGAAAGCAACGCAGTGGCAGCTAGCCTGAACAGGGATCTTCATCAAATTAACATCTGGACAGACAAATGGAAGATCACCTTCGAACCATCAAAGTGTCAGACCATGACACTATCTTGGAAGAGAATTCCATCCAAGCTGGATCTGCATTTTGGTGACTGTCAGCTAGCATCAATCAACAAGCTCGAGATCGTCGGTGTTACCATTGACAGCAAGCTCACGTGGTGAAAACATCTCAACAACATCTCCATCAGAGCAGGACAAAAACTGGGTGCACTCAAGAAAGGTGGCCAACAAACTACAAAGCTCATACCTGCGGTGTCGTGGAGTACGCCTCTTTTTGCTGTATGAATGCCCCACTAAGTCAACCTCAGCCTTCTCTTTTATTTTATTATGTTTAATTTTTATTATTTTATTATTTTCCTTCTACGTGACTTTACCGAAAGAACCAAGAAGATGAATCCCTGCAGTCACGAAAGAAGCTTTAAATCGAAATTTGACCTCCACTACGGGGTGGGTTTCCACAAAGCTTTAAGATGCTTCAACAAGCTCCGGGATAAGAAGGCTCCATTCAGAGTCTGCCTTCTCGACAGACCTGTTCTCCACCTGAAGATGGCTGCTTGCGTTGTGGCCGAAACGTCGTGAGAATTATTTAATTATGTTTTACTTTTATTATTTTCCTTCTACGTGACTTTACCGAAAGAACCAAGAAGAAGACTCAGCCTTCTCGACAAAATACAGACGGTGCTTCAAATAACTGGTGTTGATGAAGCCACCGCCAGCAAACAGCTCACCACCCCCAGCCTGCATCACCGTCGACAAGTCACTTCTATCACAGTCATGTATAAAATTCACACCAACTACTGCCCCCACAGACCTTCAGGCCATGCTTCCACCTCCATATGAAAGACGCCGTGCCACCTGATTAAGCACAACCCTGCCAAGCCACGTCCTTGCCCCCCCCTCCAGTTGCCAGAACATGGACAGAAGCTCCCTTCACTCGACTGTCCGGATATGGAACTGCCTCCCTGAACACATTTGTCGGCGAAATCACCGATTTCGGTCTTCAGTCCTTCAAATGCTGAGCACATGGACATCTCCTAACTTCACCACACGTCTTGTAAGACTGAATCTTTGAGCTGCAGTGAACCAATGATTATGCCGATTAGATGTACTAATGTCTAATATGGCTGTTGTTCACAATCGTACCTAATAAAAAGGTCAAACTTGGGGAAATGTATAATCATGGGTTACCCGGTGCAATTCTTTATTTTTACCGATGCTGTGTGTGTATAATTAGGGTGAATATGTGTGGTCGTGTTTGTCAAGAGGTAATGTGTGACGTGCTTAAGGGAGCACAGCAACCAGCAGCTTGCATTATTTAACTCCACGTGTGCTGTACACATATTATGCGGCGTCCCAGGCGTCAGTTTTCACATCCACCTAAAGTGTGCGCGGGCAGAAATGCGGGGAGCTCAGTTTCCCTTCGTCCAGCAGCAGTGCCTTGCAGCTCGGCGCAATTTTACTCTCGGCTAAGTGGCTACAAGAACTAATGTCACCACTCACACCCACAACTGGCCTATTGCTTGCCGCCTATCACTCACGCACGGACTTCGCGCTATAACACAATGCTGTTGGCTTGCTGCTTCTACTCGCAAAAGCCCCCTAGCGTGAGAATTTGGGGGGGTGCGTGGAGGGGGGCTGAATGATTTCTGAGAACCCAATGCTAAAGGCTCGTCTCATCGGCTCAATTCCTCAGTACAATTAAGCGATGGACATCTCAGGAATTTTTTTTATAAGCACAGAGCTAAGAGAAGAATGCGTGATAAACGAAGCAGATCGTATCGGTACTCATCATGTATAGCGACGAATGTTGGTTTAACATTTGTTTAACATTGACTGTCGGTCTCTTGTATGGCTCTTTAAAAAAAACAACGAAAACCACTCGAGACAGTCTTGTTTGTTATGCTAAATGTGCGCTGCTCTCGCATCTCAGCAACTGCACAACGCAGATCTCATGGCAGTGCAATCCCCCGTTTCTGATCAAAGCAATGCACGCAAGATTTTAAAAAAAATCCGAATTTCCAGCCTCAATAAAGCAAGGCACGGCCCCAGTAAGAGCACTCATTTTACAAAGGGACCTTGAAAATACACTTACAGATATTGCAGGATTTAAGAATCTGAGCTCTGTAACGGTACACAGGAATGTTTAAGGTCACTGCTGGACGAAGGCTTCCCCTTACTGGGTCGTTCGTGGGGGTTGTTTGACCATACGGTAGGTACTTCACTCCGCTGGTCATTGTGGCTTGGTGATGTTAACCACGACACCCACCACCGCTTCACCCCCTAGAGAGACTTTCATGGCACACAAAGTGTACAGTGTGATTGTGGCGCAAGCCAGAGCCCCAGGGCACTTTCCCTTTGTAAACACCAAGCACTGAAGGCTGTGTCAGAGAATGGATTAATGAGGATTTGTTGTAGAAGCACGGACATAAATAAGGAGGTCAATCAGATTCATTTGCAATGTCTGCCCACACAAGCCGCAGTGCATCGAACACCCGGAGGAGCCCTGTTTGGGGCACGGGGAGGGGTCCCGACTCTGGGCTCTGGGTTCTATCGCTTCACCAGGCGAGGCACGTCGTGGTGTGACATTCACACCACGCTTCCCGGAATCGGTCCGTATAAATGGCAGGGTCGGAGCCGAGAAAAACGCATCCCGGAGGCCAATGGCCCTTTCCAGTAAGTCTGGCAGTATTACTGCCTCTGTGAAGGGCGAGGGGCGTTCGAGGGGTGGCCGTGATCACCCCGGCATTGACAAGCGACGGCTGTGCGCAGAGACAGAGGAGAGGGAGGCTCAGTCGCTTCGGCTTTCGCACCCTGGCTGGGATGAGCGCTGGCGACGGTGGATGAACGAGCTTGACAGCGTGTTAGAGGTCACGTGCTGGGGGCGTGCGAACTGCATCACATAACGGATTTGCTTTTGTCTTCACATCGTTGATATTATTATTATTGTTGTTGACTTGTTGGCAGATTTTGGGAGGCTTAAGGAGGGACTTCATCCAGCAGTGGATCGATCATGGTCGATGATGGTAATGATTGTAGTACTGTATTGTTTTTATCAATATCGGATGGGGCAGGAGTGCAGTGGTTATCGCACTGCACTATGCGCCTGACGACCTGAGTTTGATACCCGGCGGTGGTTAACAATCAAGTGGCTAGTGACATCTGAACGAGTCATGAGCCAACTTGCCCTGTCATCAACCTGCAAGTGACCAGTGTGGTAAAGTATGGTAAAAAAATAAGTCATTAAAACTTATCAAAATGTCTTGATCCACCAGTAGATTTACAAACGGCTGTAAAACATTTTTTTTTATAATTATCACGGTATCATTTATCATGCTGCCTTTAGTTTACACGTATTTAATCAGAAATGCACACTTGCGTAAAGTGCTAAAATATCATATCAAGCAGGAGGCCCTGGGGACTTAATTATTTCGCACACCTTCATCGTCCCGATTCTATCTCGGCTGATGAGGCTGATTCCAACATGGGGAGTTAGCCAAAGGCCAACATCTCACATCACTGCGCATTTGATCAATCCACAGCTGGATGATGAAGGCCTCCTGCCCAGGCCGTCGCCATCTCTGCCGATAATTAATCCACCAAGCACCAGCACACAAACTCACGTCCCTCCATTGCCTGCCGGGTGTACGTCCTCTCGGAAGCGTTCCATTTATTGGCTTTCACTCCGTCATTATTCTAAGCCAGTGTTCATCATCCCTTGCAGTCATGATGTGTCCTGCCCAAGCCCTGTATTTTTCTTAACAGTCCGGATTCTGTCTTTAACCTGCACCTCTTATCTAATCCCTGCCTTCGCCTTTCTGACTCTCAATGCAATGCCAATAATATGCATCTGCTAACCCTGCCTTGGTTTGGATGCGAGAGATGGTTGTGTGCTTTTATTTTGCAACATGACGGTTGTGCCATCTTTGATGAATAAAAACGCCTTACAAAAATTGGCAGGGACTTCTTCATTCAGCTCTTAGGACAAATTATTTACAAGAAACAGCATAATTCCCTGCAGTGGAAACCAAAGTAATTGCGTTTTCTTTAACCCTGATGTCACAACTCGCCACTGCCAACATTACTTTGCGAACATTCGCCTTGTTTTTTCTGTTCTTTTTTTATGTTCTTCCGATTGGAGTTTGTACCTATTCGCATGTATCTACATTGCAGGCAAACACGTGACGGACGACACTTGTTGGCAGAGGAATTTACCCCAATACGACTTTTTTAGTCTGATGGATGCTGACAAGAAGGGATACGAGCCTTAGTGTGTTCTCAGTGAGGTTCATTGGTGTGCAAAATAAGCATACGACATGATAGTATTACATTTCACCTTTGAAAAGTAAATGCGGCCATGTTATTCATTCGAAAATCATTATTAATACCGGATTTCATTCTGAAACTTCATTTGTAAAATGTGATTATATGGACTGGAGCAGTGGTGAAGTGATGAGTGCGTTGGTGATGTGAACCTGCCGACCTGCGTTTGACAGTGATATCTAAAACTGATCCTCGACCGCCTTCATCAACCCTGCATTGACCTGCATGGTGAAGTATGGTCAAACAACTCATAGGGGCAATACAGTGTGGAGAGGCCTTCAAAGAACTGTGGATTGACATAAGGTTATGACAATACAAATAACAATTTGATGTGCTATTACAGTGTGATTTCACTTACCCAGTGTTTAATATTGACAAAGGGGACAACACAGCTCTCCAATATGTTTGCGGATTGTCATGAATGTTGTTTGGTGGAACCCTAAAACACATCAGAGAGCTGTATACAGCTCAACTGTGAAAACCTACACAGTCGTAAGGTGACAACATTACGGTAAAATTTGAATTCTGAATCAAAATCTCTAGATGTACTCAAAAGCGGGTTTATTTTCATGACAGCTGTTGTGCAGTTTATAAATGTATATTCCGTAATGAGTTAAATGTGTCTTCAGTGCATAATGGTTTGATTATAGTCAGATGAATTAGCTGATGCAAATCATGAAATAGGAAACTATGTCAACTACTGCCTTCCATTCACACAAACCGTTTGAGACTATGATAATGTTGGAATCGTTTGCAACATCAGTGACACTGCAATGATCTAACATTCACAAATATATGGGAATTGTACAGCCCCTTTGTCATTCCACGCCGTCGGTTATTCGGCATGTTTGACCATACTTCACCACCCTGATCAGTGCAGGCTGGTGAAAAGGGCAAGCCTGGAATCAGCTCAAACGTCACTCTTCACCAATATTAGCTATGGCCGGGAATCCAACTGCGGTGACCGGGTTCAGTGTCGTGTGAGATCATACTGCACCACTGCTCTCCCATATACGTACATGAAGCCAGCACTGTATTTCGAGAGTACAGTATATGGGTGTCATCCTTTTACGCCAAACTATATTTGTCTCCGTTAATGTTGACAGCCCTGGCAAATTGCAGTCGTCTTTGTTCACATTAATTAGTGGAATAATTAATTGCCGTCCAGGTGTTAAAACGAATTATGCTAATATTCCATCCGTGGCTGGAAGCTATTGGGCCACATGTATTATTGAGAGGGTGTATGTCTCACACTCTTACAGCATTGCTTATCGAGCACAGGCGGACTTCCGTTGAGTTTGTACATTGTATTAATTTCACCGAAACACATTCAGACACCGTCGGCTTCCCTTACAAGATACAAAAAGACGCCACGCGGTCCTTTGAAACGTAACGCTTCCTATGAAATGCATAAATTATATATTGAAGCTACAGAGTTGCAAGCCTCAAAGAGATACTGTTCTTTCATTTGACTTTTTTTTAAGTACTCTCAGTACTGTGCATGCAAGACGATGTCAATCATATATCAGTCCATAGTGTGTGTCGTAAGTTCACAATAAAATACCATTAATACAGTGCTTCCTTGGTTGTGCAGTATTCTATATTTTGGTAAAATCCTACGGCACTGACAACATAATTTGTTTCAGTTACTGCCACATCATGAGAATTGGCCAAATATCATATTTTATATTAAGAAAAAGGTTTACAGGAACACGTACACTTGTGTTTACTAATACAATGTCCCTGGCTACTCTTAGGATACATTCCACTGATAAATATGCGGATATAATAAGCCCATTAAATTGGTACGTGACCTTGGTGTCTGTGTATGTATACAG